CCAGGCGGCTCCAGCCAAAGCACCTGGGAGACCATCAGTAGGATCCATCCAGAGGAGTTCGGTCAGGGTCATTGGAAACCGCTTGCTTTGAGGGAAAATTTTTGGGAAAATGAGGAAAAATCGAAACTGGAAACCGAAACGGAAACCATATTAATTTTAAATGGTAAATTTAATGATAGATCGTTTTTGGGCTTTCCGGTGTTCACATTTTCCCGGAAAATCTAGTGAGACGGGGTTCAAAACTTCGAAGTGCTTAGGATTTCGATGGGGGTCTCTTAGATGACTTTTTGTTTGTTGGAAACGGTGTGTTTTCTTCAGATCTTGATGTCTTGGGCGGCGCATTCTCAGCTGGAACGGGCCATGTGATGATGGGACGAAATTTCGGCAACCTAGTGTCTTCAAGAGCAGACCCAACGATTGCCACATGTGAGTACCACGTCACGCTGTGCGGACGTGAGTCATTCAAGCCAGGATGCTAGAAGAATGGCACCAACCAGTTTGGCATATGATCAATTCAATCGGACTCTCATGCAAGTTACTTGTGCCGGTTTGACTCTTTTTGAAGGAACCTTCGGACTTGAACTCCAAACGACGATATTCACTGCTTGAACCTAATTAGGTTCGTGCCATTTTGATATGTGATAGATATACACACAGCTGGACGTGAGTGTACTGCAAGTCTATGCACTGGCATGTTTATCTCAAACATAGACGTGCCCTCCGGTAAACAAACAGTTTGCGATGGACAAAATCACCATTTCGATCCGTTTTGAACAGGTCAATGATCTACACATGGGCCATTTTGAAGCCGCTTTAGGACGACTACCTCCTCTTCGATCGCCAGTTCGCAGGGCGGTGCTCTCAAACTTGTTTCTGGGGAGTGGAACACCCATGGCATGGGAACATGATGGGGAAATATTGGGAATAATTGAATATCATGACATATTATGAATGTATACTTGAATATTGTGACTTAAATTATGGTAGAACATATGGAAGATGTACACACAACATATCATAAACGGCCTATAAAGGCCTTAAGCTCATCTTTTGAAAACCACCTGTGGATGGCTGCCAGGTGCAACACCAGCCATTGCTCAGCTGAAGGAGGGGTTGGAACGGTTGGGTCTTGCATGGAGAAGGCATTGATTGGTGCCGGCATTGATGTAGCGCTTCGGTAACATCCGCCAATGAACTTTTGGGGACTGATTCGATGATTTCGTTGATCTAGAGTGATTTGGGATGACTCACAAGTGCGAAACCCAGCCGTGATTCGTAAACATCCAGTTTCTATCCAACTATTGATTGTAAGTTTTCTGAACTTCGCTAGTTTGGGATGGATAGATTTGATGGGCTTAACTTCCAAGGAACTTGCTTAAACCTGCCACCGAAGTTCCTGTTCATCCTTGACGCACAATTTGGCATCCATTCAGGGTGGCATTTTTGCTGACATTGTATGATTGGAAGAGCCTCAGCCCCAAAGGTGACTCCCCAAATCACAAGGCCCTACGGCCCTTACTAATAAAATTATAGTTTTTAACCAGCATCAGTGCACCTTAACTCCCCTATTGCTTATGAAGCCTACCCACTGGCTAAGTTTTTTTGGGGCCATCAAGGGGTGATTGCCGGGCATATCCCGGGATCAACCATGGTTTTTTCACGGTATCTTTTCTGCTTAACAGGTGCCTAGATTCCTAGATGCATGGTATCGGGACCAGGAGATGGGATTTAGCGAAGAAGTTTCACGGCGAGTTCTGAATGAGTGTGCCTGGGATGTGAACAAGGCCAGCTCATCCTTTGGCGCGTGCGGCGCGCAGCTGCATTTTTCAAGATGGAATGGGTATGAATGGGTCATGTTGGGCCCCTTTTTGAATCCGATGAAATTTTGACCCATAATGGGCACCCAATGCCTAGATCCAGTCGCATCCAGTTATGCTCCCAACTCTTGGAGACTTGCTCCAGATGGCCATGATGGCCATGATGGCCCTGGCACCATGGCACCATGGCAGGCAATTGATCAACTTCTCCTCACAGAGGTTCCTGAAGGTGCAGATGGCATGGAAGACAGCATAGATGACCGAGGAGGACCCCCGGGGCAAAAAGGTCGCAAAGCTGGTCACAGGGAAACCTTCCGTAGAGTCGTAGAGGTACAAAAAGATGTAGAAAACCCATGAAAACGCATGGTTTCAAAGTTTGGAACTTGATCTAACAATGCTGGCTTTTCATGGCTTCCACATCTATCTTAGTCTATATTGGAGGGCATAGGCATCGCCGGGGAATCCTTTTCGGAGACGCGTATCCTGAGGAGGGAGTCCGTCAGCAGGCCACAGCGGCATGGGGTCCGGCAGTGGTGATGTGTCCAGGGATCCCGGTTTCGGGGTGATAGACCCAGAGTCACCAGTCAGTGCTCAGTGGGCCCAGGTCTTGGGGTTTGTCACCCAGGGCCCAGTTGTGCCAGTTGCAGAGTGTGGTTTCTTCATGACCTCCCCAGGGTTCGAAAGTCTCCGAATCGCCTCTGGAGGCGCAGAAGTTGTAGCGGAGAGTGAGCCACCCCATAGCCTGGATCCTGGCAGCCTTGACCCATAGGACCATATAGGACCCCAACAGAATAGCTTCCATATTTGATTTCAGGTGCCATGTTGAAGCATATTTCAAATTATTTCAATATCTTCCAAAAATTCCCAAAAAATGATCCAGTAGTGAGGCTTTTGTTTATGAGATGATTCTTTTATTGTGGCCAGAGTCGGTGAGAGAAAACAGCACTAAGGTGATGCTAATGGGAAGAGTGGTGGCTACTTCCAGGCAGGGCGATGATCCGATGGCGGATGAGTCCTGGTTGTTTAAGTGACGTATCGAGGCCTACGGTCGATACGTCGATAGCCCTTTAAAAACCCCTCAGACCTCAGATCGGCAGTTTTTGGGTCGAATCTGGACCTGCCTAGGGTGAGAAAGCACCAGCTGCAGCTGTAGCCAGGGTGCCCAGTGGAAATGCCGGGTCTTCCAAAACATGACCAGTGGGAGTAGCAAGTCGCTGCAGGAATGGCCCACAAGACTCACCGCATCTTGTGCTAAACCGATTGATCTGTGAGCCCACTTTGCTAAGCATCGGCGATGCATCGGCGTAAGCAAGTGGATTGCCATTTGGGTTGTGGCCTCTTCACGATAAGGTTCTAACTTCAACCCCCCAGTGTTTGAACCTGGCAACGGCATTGCACGATTTTCCTATAGACAAAAATCGAACATCGAGATTTCCAGTTGCCACGGTTGTGGAGGGTCATTGTAGTTCATTATTCATTCCCCATTTTTCCGCCATTGTTCCATCCGCCATTTTTGACCGATATAGGAATAATTTATAATAATTTACTGTCATAGTTTTCTTCCTTCTTGGAATTCCAAGATGAACGAGGTATACGAGACCCAGTGACAAATCTGGATTTGTCCTAAGACAGGGCACCCCAAATTTGACCATGTTGACGGTCAAATTGGACAAAGCCATTCCGAGGAAACCGGCGAAGCATGGGCTGGGTCCCACGCAGCTGAAAACGGAGGCGCTGGTCCACGGCCACCTTGTGGCGCTGAGATCCCAATGAACATCCACAGTGCCCATGAGATCAGGAGATTCATGGACCAATGGATCTCAACAAAGATAAGCAAGGTTTTCCATTTTCGTTGACCCTTTGGAGCGGGCGAGTTGATGTCGAGGTAATTCAAAGATGGGGCGGGTCGTTCACAGCTCCAGCCGTTTGAAGGAATCCTTGCACATCCCGCAAAGTTTAACATTTAGAAACCCAAACGACAATCAGATTTACTGTAAGTTGTGAGTGAAATTCCCAAAGTATTTGCCAACCCTTTTGAGGAGCAAGCTGTTCTGGGCAATTGGGTTTTAACACTTGCCATCCAAGTTCCTCGTTTGAGGTCAAAGAAGTACCGGTAAGTTCTGTTGAGTGGCAGTTGCACATGGTTTGGAAGCAATTCACGCTTGTGATATCACTTGGTAGAAGTTTTCAACAACAGAGTGGGGAGCTGACCAAGCATTGGTCTACTCAGTTAATATTCAAAAATATCACTGTGTCCAATTGGTCTAGTGGATAATGAACAATGAGGCGGCCCCAGCTGTTGGACAATGATATTATAAATCAATTGGCAAGGCTCTGCTTGAGAATTGTATTTTTTGCTTGTTCCATGTTCGTTTTCAGGGGTGTTTGCATTTTGTTGTCTGCTGGGAGCCGGGCAAAATAGAAGCAAAGCCCCAGCAAACCTCATGGCTCGCCAGGGGCTGCTGAAGCAGTACCTGCTAGTAATGAGGCGCTGTTTCAGGGGAGAGTTTTTGTTGCTTTTACCCACCAGGGATATGTTTGACTCCTGCAATTCGACCAGCAATATGGGGATCTTCCGCAATGGGATCTCTATGCGATTGTTATTGAATGAATACTAGATTGCTAGAGAAGCAACCAACATATGCAAATCCCAATCTTTGATAGGTCTTGATATTGCCCTAAGCCTACATTTTTGGGCTGGAAGTTGCTTTTCTCCCCCTATCACCCTTCTAAGTCCACAGTTTCTTTCTGCTAAACTACCTGCCCCATGGTCACAAGCAACAGTCCTTCTCCAATTCAAGGGAGCCAGCCACTCAGACCCGTGCATGAACATCAGGATTACCTCAGGGATCAAATTGTGAAGTTGCCATTGCCATGATGTGTCACTCAATTATATTTATATATATATATATATAAGTGCAATGAAATGTCATGATATGCCGTCACAATATATCGGGTATCATGCATCAAGGGGCAACATATGAATATGTTGCCAAACTATGCCACATATAATGTAACGCATGTAATCATATATAAATATATATAACATACAGCATATAGATGCATATGGCATATAGTCTTTGACACAATATAGAATATAAATCGATAAATATAGCATCCCATCCTAATCCTCATCTAAGTGTCCCAAGAGTGCCAGGCGGCTCCCGGCCCCGACATTTCGAATGAGCCTGCACAGCCGATGCATCCAGGGGCATCGGGTCAAGATTCGAGATGCATCATGAACTGCTTGGTGTTCTTTTTTTTTCAACTTGTTATCCGTACAGATGATGATTCCCAACTACCTTCAGATTTTTCTGGCAGGGGCGGCTCAAACACCTGCCCAACAAACACACACACATGTATATATATATATACACATTAGATGTGCATGTGTAAGGACACACAATACACGTATATCCGCACACGGTTATTGCCATAACATGAGTTTTGACCCAATTTACCACCAACGATTTCGAGGTCCGAGGGTGTACAGCCATCCGCTCCGACGAAACGCTTGGAGCGGGTTACGAAACCATGGACCGCTGCCACGACGGAGGGGGCAGGTTGTGAATGGTTGGGGGATTCATCCCACTTAATCACCGGTTAGCAAATGGGGTTATAGCCTAGATAATATCTAGCTATATAAATATAAACATAGATAGATAGATAGATGGATGGATGGATAGATAGATAGATAGATAGATATACCGGATAACTATGGATAAGTGCAATTAGGGACTCGCGCGGGTTACCAGCTACCAAGTGGGATGACCCTCGTAGGTGCGTACCATATCACATATCCCCAAAAGGGTTCGATGGGGTACCCTAAGATGTTGCTTCAAGAGTACCCCAGAAATCCCCAGAAGGGCAAGAAATGGGATAGCTAACACTAATTATATATTAGCAACATGTGTGGTCCCAAGTCGCAAGGTCGGTTCTTTTTATACCACATACCTGGAGTCCCGCCATACACAATCATGTCTCATTCCGATTCGGCCAGTTGTGATATTGATACCCCGAAAAAAATCCCGTGATAAGTCCACCAATGTCCTAGCACATTCAGTATGGGTATGGGGTGTATGAGTCAAATGGATCACCCCCGGTGCAGATGCATCTCACAACGCTGAGCGGGCTGCATCTTCAATTTCTGGGGAAGGCACACAGGTATTGGATTCTACTGGGCCAACCCTGCTTTGGTAGAGTTTGGTACAGGTCAATTGGTGCATTTTCAGCTGTAAACGCAAAAATCGACCAACACCAACTGAACTAAACAGTATTTTTTCCATGGCAAGAGCCCATCTAACCCAAACATGGTGCAGGGACAGAGAAGTTCGGTTGTCCAAGTTCCAAAAATGGATTCCAGGCTTGTGTTTCCATTCAATTTCATGTCATTTCGTTTCTTTGCTATCTTGCCTGCTTGTAAATGCTCATCCTGCTGTCACATAGGCATGCAGCCAACAACAGTGGGCAGCCCTGATGTGAACAAGGGTGTGTTGAACCATGTTTAACCGACAGAAGGCAACTATGCTTATGATCTCTTGGTTCTTGTCGGTCTTTGTGGCTGAAAATCCGGTTGGCATCCACTGACATTTTCGGGGATATGGGTGGGTGAAGGAAGGACACGCCGAATAGGCCAGGCTCAAGATATCAATTCAAAGGGCATTCATGCTAAATCAATCTAAATTCAATTTTTGCTACTTGAAATCACGCTTTTGCTGCTTAAACCATCTCAAACCCAAATATTGGGCAGGGTAATTCGCACTTTTGCTTCTTGAAGTCCAATTCTTGCCGTGTAGATAGCTATTTTTCCAATTTCAAATCCAATTTGTTGCGTTTATAACTCCCAATGTTTCCTCTTTTGTTGCATTTTTGACTCCAATTTTTCTGCTTAAAACCATCATGTTTCATCTCCCCTGGATGTTTAACTCCAGTTTTCTCATCTTCAAATCATCGTTTTTCCTCTCTTTTCATTCCATGTCTTGTCCCTTTTGTCTCTCCCAATTTTGCTGCTGAACATATTTCAATATATTTCAATCAACGATTCTTGGATTTAACTCTTTAAAACTGATTTGTTTGATAGATATAGATATATATATATATATATCTACCATAAATGTGTTCTACTATAATTATATATTATTATATATCTATCGTATATATATATATATTCATCCCCATTTTGAATCCCAACTCCGCGATTCTTTGGTCCCTGTGTCCGCAGGACCGCAGGAGACGCATCGCAGCTGGGTGTTGTGGCAGAGGAGTTTGTATACGCTGCTCGGATGTTGTTATTGTGCCATCCGGGACAACCACTTGGGTGTGTCTGAAAATGTCGTGTACCCCTAAACCCAATGGTTTTGCTGATCATTATCCCTATTCAATGGCTATTTCATTGGGAATATATCCTATTTTCAGACAAACCCACTTGGGGAATCTACGGAGACTGAGACTGTTGGGATGTTTTGGGAACTACTTAAAAAAATGGACTGTTTTTTGGGATGTTTTGGGGACTATTGACTATTATTATGTTATATTTTTTGGAGGTTCCGCAAATCCAAGTGACCAGCCATATTCAGCCCATAGTGCTGATGATGTGCCTACATTGTGATTTATTTTGGCAAATGGTGGGAAAGTATTCCCATAGTTCATAGTTGGGGATTTAACTTTACTCTATATTACCACATGTTATAACTCTTTGTTGGGTATTCAATTTTATGTTTTTTATAGTTGGGTACTCAGCGAAGAAAATTACATGGGCAGCACCTACAGATTTTGTTGATTTATGTTCATGGGGATGACCTACTGAGTCAACCCTATGGTAAGAGCGAATCTTATGGGCTTACCGACCACCAACCAGAGATCATTGGGGGGGTCACCCCATGAATATGTCCTTTTCTGGTTCTGTCACGTACTATTCGTTTGTCGAGTCCAGAAAAACACAGGGGTTATCGCCTCTACAACCAGTAGGTGATGATCAATGGTGTAGCAGGCCGGTATATTTTGATCATGTTTGATCTATGTGTCCTAATCGGACAGTGTTGAATTGGTATAACAACACTAGTCAGGTCTCTGGCGGAATGCTTAGAATGGCCGAAAAATCATGTGCCTTATCAACGGGGAAAGCATGGCAAAGCCATGGGTTTTGGGGTGATCGAGTTCTTTTTGCTGACATGTAGGTTTCTGAAGATGGCTTCCAAGCCCCCCAAAGCATCCAAGCCATTGGTCAAGGAATCAACCAATCCTTTGGGACACATGATGGATTTCCATGGATTTCCCATCTCTATATATGATATATGTTAGGTATTTCACTGGTAAGCACCACGCAACGCACACAACAGGAAGTTCACTGCACCCAAAAAGGAAAGAATTTGGTGATGCATTGGGGGGGCTCATTGATATTCTAAGCGTTGGGAAACTTACCCCCCATCACCTCGGATGATTGTCCTTGTTGATGAGACTGTGTTTGGGACCGGTTGAAGGTTGAAAACATCAACAACATATCTTAATCCTGCGTGTTTGAACCAAATTCCATAGTTCAAGAGCTATTTTTTTGCAATTGCACAGTTGCATTTTGGATTTTTTGGGCGTGAACAGTGTGAACCCCACATTCTTGGAGGATTTGTTCAGATTTACGCTCCAAACCTCCGTGGCTCCCAGCGTTTGGGGATCGGTTCTGCCCAGGTGTGGACCGAGACTGGAACTGACGTGGGGTGGATTCATGCTGAGCTGGCGAGCAACCAGGCAGGGAGCCGAGGCTGCAACTGGGGCAGATATTGAAATTGGTTGGTGCAACAAAAACCCTAGATTTTAACATATTTTAGCGTATCTTCAGGGTTGAGCACCAATGGTGAAAAATAAGGAAACATAGTTAGTGATGAATTTGTTTGAGAATCTACAAGAACATCATCAGGTATCTTTTTACGGTCTGGCGGCCGAAATGGGGGCACCAGTGAGCTCACCCAATTGGCCAATGGCCACATCCAGAGAGGAGATTTGGACTTTCCCCGCAAGTCCAGAGCTAAAATCCTGGGGATTTACCGTACATTCAATCTGATCTTTGGAGCCCTTTCCCATCCATAGAGGGCTCCTGCCGCTGAACTTCAGGCGAAGGTGGGTTGGTTGCCCAAGAGCATCCTGCAAGAACTTCCTGAAGGTCAGAGATGGATGTGCCTCGACATGGTCGCACCCGGTGCTTGGACCTGGCAGACCCATTGAGGTTTCGCCTAGTTTTTTTGAAGGAACAACCCCACAACCCCTGGTATGGGAAAAGTATATGAGCGTTAAGGGGTCAGGAATTGGTGGGGGATAAACTCAGCCAGGGCATTCCCTGACAGAAATGGACGATGAAAAGGTAGATTTGGATAGATTTGGGATGTCTGTAATTCTTTGACATATGCAATTGAAGCAAAAACCGTGAGGCACTAAGACATAAAGGGATTATGACGGCCAACCCCTCTGCCAACCGAGCGCTACAAACTTTCCGAGGCGTGCAAAAGCAAAGTGGCAGGCTGTTTTTTGAGACTGGGGGGGATTTGCTCTCACTCTTTGGTGTTGTCTATCAGAGTCTATCAGTATATCATGGAATGAATTTCTTTTGATTTGGCCGAAACTTCACTGGAGATCTCTGTTCTGATCTTGGTTCTCCCCCAGCAAAGTGAAACGATGTCGGCACCAGGCACGAGATGACAGTCAGTGTAGCGTGGAAGTCGGCGAATTCTGCCTGGTGTGGGTAAGCTCACTCACCAAAGAAGGCCACTGGGACTGACGAATCCATGAATTCAGGCCGTTTGTCAGATACTTTATGCGATAAAATATGATAAAATGCATCATTTTATAGCTTGGGGTTGCTCACAACCTCACAAACTCTGGTGTGTTTCTGAACTATTTCGATTACCTGATTACCACGTTGTTGCCTCTTACTATATCTTACTATAATGATTCTCTTCGAGATAAAGTTATATAGAAGTTGGAGATGATCCTTTCAATATCTTGGAAGATCATGTCCTACCCGAGTTGGTTATATATATATATATACATACATATGTAGATATATTATAATTACAATCTATATGCAGGTATAGTTACGGGTCAAAACCCTGGTACCTGGGTACACTAAAACTCCTGGTAAATGGATGTTCATTCCCCAAAATATATCCAGATATGGTAATTCCATAGGTTTTGATCCATTTTCATATTATCATCAGATATTCATCATCATTTAACCATTATTAACAATGATTAACCATTATTAACCACTGGCCATTCATCACTATTAACCATGATTGATGATCCAGTTGGTTTATATATATATACATATAAATTGGAATCCATATAGAGGTATATAGATTTTTATCCCACGCAGCCAAGTTCTCAAATGATTCGGCTGAAGCTGAGGTTGGACCTATGTGGAGTGCCAGGCCTGGACCAGATGCTGTGGCGTATAGTTGCATGGTCAAGCGACGAGCCCTTGTGCACGTGGGTACACATAATATACACACATGAATATGTGTATATATATATATATGTGTATATATATGTATGTATATATGTATGTACATGTATAGAATATTTTTTGGGGCACACACATATATATATGTATATGTATATATGTAGAGAGATTTCAAAATCTGCTTGCTACAAGCTGGTGGTCCCTAGCAAAGTTGAGTTCTAACTGTTATAACTCGTCCTTGCTCGTCGCTGGCCTAGCCAGGACAGTGCTGACAAGGGATGGTTGCCCGACTTTTGCCTAGCCCGGGCTCCCAGGGGCCCCAGGGGCCAGATGGAGTAGACTGAGTAGACTCAAAAACATGGGCCCTCTGGAAAATTTCATGTAATTTAAGCTGGCTATTGAACATGGCCCATTTCAAGTATCGATGACTTACATCATCTTAGGTATGACAAACGGCGATTGTTCATTTCGCAAACTGCAACTACCAGAGAAAACCAGTCAGCTCAGTGGCTGAAAACATTTGCCACTAAGGTTTGGAGCTTGTAGCTGCAAACTTGGTGAAGCAGATACGTCAGGTTTTCGATAAAGCCTCCCTTCAGAGTGTAGCAACCCAAAAACACACCAAAGGCAGCAGCAATGGTTCCTGAATGATATGGAGATATATGGAGATATATCAGGGCCACGCTATATCCAACGCTTTAAAAGTGGCAAATTACTGGAAATAACACATAACTGCGTCTTGGAGGCGATCTGACGCTGGCAGTCTGTAGCATTACCCGAGTTGTTCATATAGAAAGCTCTCGCTCTCGCTGACGACAGCGTGTGAAAACCCCGTCGCGGCACGTCCACCTTATCGCGTTGTTGGCGGGCGTTCACTTCGGGCGTTGACGTTTGACTCTCTGTGTCTCTGTCAGAGGTGCTATGGTGCCGTGAGAAAAGAGTCGCCACACAAATCAGTCACAAATCATCACAAATCTTGGCATATCCATATCCATCATATCCTACCAATATAGATGTAGCATTTTCATAGCGGCCTGCCTAAAAGTTGATGATGGTTAGCTTGACCTTGGGGCATCCAGAGAGCAGCCCCTGTAGCTGCGATTTGCGTCGACAGGAGATTTCTGTGCGGTGAAAGAAATGACACGGGTGTGACGGGTGTCCGGTTGTTGCTTCGTCCATTTCCCACCCAGGGAACCAGATAGAGTTCGTCCATTTCCTCTGTTGGGTCGAGTGGTTGAGCACCATCAATGCGCTGAATCTGCATGTTCGTTTTACAAGTTTTGAAGCTCATCCAGCTGATCCATATATTTGTTCAAGTGTCACGTTGGCCGATGGCCGAAATGATCCAAAACAACAGTGGCGAACGAAGAAATCCTGGGGCCATTTGGCTGACAGCTGGTTCTGGAGCTTCGTCATGGCCGAGGACTGAGATGAAAAAACCTTGACAGTGGCCAAAACAGTGAAGTGGCAATGTAAATGATAGGTTTGATATACTGATATACGTTTTGATGGGTCAAAACCTACTATTCCCATCTATATTATTATATATTATTGTATATTACCCTCCGGTTATTTAACATAGCCATGGGAAATGGCCCATGGAAATAGATGGTTTACCGTTCTTAAAAATGGTGATTTTCCATGGTAAATAACCCATCTATTACCATATTTTATGGGATTTCATGATGGATGGGGATCTTCACCAACATGGGGATATTCATGGGAAATACCTTCTGCTTTAAACGTAGGCAAATCATCATCTTTGTCACCGGCACAATGGGGCATAATGGGGCATCTTCCTATACAACATGCCAGACTCTTTGGGGAACTGACGGAACTGTAGGCATCTTATACTTCTTTATACTTGCATGCCAGCTCATAGGATAATTATTGCTCGCCTTGCCCAATGTTCGAGCGACGGCAGTTCATGCACATTATTTCCAAAGATTGACACATGCGTTATATCAGATCGAAGGTCCAGCGATGCACAAATGCAAGAATTGATGAATTGATCAAACGGACATTCCAAATTTGGAAGGACTTTGTGGAACTGGCTCATTCAGCCACAAAAACGGCAAGGGTGCTACATGGGGGCATCATGGGGCGTATTCCAAGCTGGCACAGGAAAGCCCTGCTGCCGATCTCGCGGCCGCGGCCGCGGCCGCACCGGCGCCCGCACCGGACGCCGCCGGCGATGCCGGAGGTGATGGCGCGGATTCGCCCACGGGCCGGCGGCCGGGATACAAGCAGCAATTAGACCCTGGGCGGCAGATGCAGATGTTGGGAGGGCCGAGCCAGGCAAAAAAATGGGAAGATTTATATAATTAGCAAGTTGTGCATCTATCTGAGGCAACGCCGCCGAAATGGACCATGGCCAGCAAGCCTAAGATGATCATTGGAGGTCCGGTGCCATCCTGGCAGGAGCCCGAAGCTCCCATGTGGGGTGGTTGATACATGATGATACATTTAAATCATGTTAATATGATGCCCCCGGTTTTAGTTGGTGAAGATAGTTATGTTGGGATTCGAATCGCCACCTTTGGAAAAAATCTTTGAGATTTGGTATCAATATTCCATGCTGGCTACTGCTGCTGCTGGTGCTGGGGAAGGCGTGAAGTGTGCATTTGCTGGACATGACAAGAATTCACCAGAATTGTGTCATGCTGCCATGCTTCTATGCCAAGGAGATACGACGATGTTGCTTTTTTTGGGGGGGCTTCCCCTATTATAGACTTTATCTTACATGATTAGATTCACGCGACACCCAGCCTGCCCAACCATGAAGAGAGTAGATCAGGGTGCTCAATGGCTTCAGGAGAGCATCCCTGGGCCGCAGTACCACTATTCCACCGACAACTTCAAGCACAAGCAGCCGGCGCTCCGGCACTGGAAGTCTTATCCTGAAGCTTCCAGCCCTTTTCGGTGTTGAATTAATTTCACGTGGAAGCCAAGAAAGACTAAAGATCAATCCAAAATGATGTTAGGTGTATAGAAAAATAGTAACATCATGCAACTTCTCCTTTGGGACCCCATTTGGCAAAATTTCTTTTGGGACAACGGGTGACACATTTTAAAGCACTGGTTGAACCTTCGAACACTCCGAGGTGTGGTCCATGCGCACCAAACCAGAGATGGTCATTGGAGGCGGCGTGCCCAGTTGGACCAAGTCGATTCCGGGACCCAAATACATGTACGACACGGACTGTTCCTTGGCACTCCTTGGGTGGATTGGTCTCAGCCCCCTGTAGTTAGGAATTCACACGCAATCTTTTGGCTTTTAGCTCCCTCCGATTGGCACAGGATGTCAGGTCCCGCTCCATTGCACGTGTGTGCGGTTTGCGGACGCTGGCGAAATATTAATCCTGTGTGTGGTTTGTGCAGGGCAGCTAGGGCTTTTGGATCAATTGCTTTTGACCCACGGCTCACCGAAGCTGGGGTACTACCAATATTGGATATTCTGGATAGAACTGTTGGTGAGGTTTACGGTCTGCTTGCAACACAGCCTGTACCCTTGCCACCTTCAATTTCGGGAGCAGCCCCTGATTTGCCGGGGGAAGCTCCTGTTCCTGCTGGGGCGGCTCCTGCGTCTGCGGGAGTTGCGCCGGCGGTTTCGAGTCCAGGGAGAGCCGCAGCGAAATCTAGCGCCAAGGCCCCTTCTCCTGTTTCTGCGGGAGGAGGTGGTCTTCCAGCTTCGTCTGGTAGCTTGGCAAGGGCTAGCGCACCTTTTGAGGACGATCGCCCGCCACTGCCTCGGCGTTTTCCTGTGACCCGAGAGGCGCCCAATCCCCCAGCTCCTGTGCCTCCAAGAGCAGAGGGTCAAAGGCCGCGAAAAAAGAAAAACAAGGGTAAAAAGTGGAGAGAAAGGGGGGAAGAGCGTAAGGCAGCACGCCTTGCAAGAGAGGCAGCGGCAGCGTATCAACCCCCTACCGGAGACACAGACGAAAGCGAAAGCGATGCCCCCTAAGGTGAAAGCAAAAGCCAAAGCAAAAGCTTTACCTAAGGCGGCAGGGAAAGCCAAGGCGAAAGCTAAGGCTAGAGTTGCGTCGCGCAGAGCAGGACTGCTACGGAAGCGGCCAGCACGGGCTCCTCTTGACGGTGCGGGAAGCCCGTGTGCCTCCCCTGTCCCTGAGCCTGAGCTGTTCGCGCCAGTTGCGGAGAGCAGGTTCCGGCGGGAGGGAAAATACCATATTAAGGGTAAATACCTTGGTGTTGACGCGGAAGCAGCAGTAAAGATTGACAGTCTTGTTGAAGATTCTTTGGGAAAATGGGCCCAAGTAACTCTTTTGGGAACCAACCACGACAGTTTGAGAGAATGGCGTCTTCAGTCAAGTGCCCCCCTGTTCATCTCAAGGGTAGGCGTGACCACCGATCAGCAAGTGATGGACCAAGAGTTGTTCTACACCCGCGAGGTTGGAGAGATAGACGAGAAGATCACATGGATCACCAATCTCAAAGATCATGGTTCCACGGGGGGTCTTTCAGGGATCAACCAACTGGCCCGGGAGTTAGGTTATGGGGGAGGACAAGGAGTAGGTCCAAGGGAGAGGACGCCAGGAGGGGCCGATCCAGCCAGTCCAGCCAGTCCAACCAAGCCGTCGAAAAAGAAAAGGCTTCGCGGGAGGGAAAGAGTGAAAGCTATGCTCAAAGACAGCCAATGGTCATGGAAAAACAGCGCCCTAGATCCGAGATTCAAACGGCCAAAAATTCGGTTGAAGAGGAAAAAAGACAAATCCAGCTCATCGAGCACAACCGAGACAGAGAAGAGCAACGATTCAGAAGAGGAAGATCTGTTCCCAGAGGAGGATCAGATCAAATACATACACAGGAAATGCCCGGGGTTGCTGACACGTCATGGAATCAAGCAGGCAAAATGCAGGGTTCTAGCTCTTCAGGGAGAAGGTGGGGAAGGCAAGAATCCAGAGCCAGTATTTGTTCGATATCATCGTCAGATATTTGCCCCGCAGAACCCAAGCGCACCCCTGAAACGAGAGCATCTGACACTGTCGACGGTGTTGGATTGCATTCTGCGGGGGGAAATTTTGAAAGGATCAGATATACTGACCCAACGATTGAAATCGTTGGAGCAAATTGCGCACGGAGCACCAGCACACCTTGCCTTGAAGTTAGAAATTCTACCACCAGAATCCACTACTCTCGCGAGCATCGAAGAGTCGAGAACAGCGGCAACGCAGCACCATCGCGAACTCAAGGTAGCGGAGGTTTGGAAGGGGAAAGGCAAGCAAGGCTCATGGGGACCCAGCCCGCCTTTGACCCCCGGCAACACCAAAGGGCTGAAAGGGAACAAAGGTTCAGGCGCAAAGGGAATTCAAGGGAAAGGAGACAAGGGAGACAGGGGGAGCAAGGGAGAGCAATCTGGGAGAACAGCTATAGTGGCCCCGACATAATTGTAGATGATGTATCCAGGTCCCCTGAACTTACGGGGGGCTTTAGCTTGGGAAGGACTCCTGAGGATGCGGGAGCAGATGCTGTGGGTTGCAGCTTCAACTCTGAGAGGCACCCTGCCAGAGAGCTCAAAGGGGCGCTCAGCAGAGTTGGCACAGAGCTGTTTTTGACCCTAAAGAAAAAAGCAGCTACAGCGGTTAACACGGGTGGGGGTGTATTTCCCCTCCCCATGGTCCCCTGTGACACGCCACGGGATGATCATGCAACTGACAAGGGTCATTGGTTGAATTGTCTCATAGCATCCTTGAACTGGATGTCAGGCGGGGTTTTGGGGGTTCCACCTAGGGGGGAGATGAATGCCCTTCAAAAAGATTTGGTTGGAACTTTGGAAGAATCCATGGTCTTGATAGACCGCTTTAGCCAAGAGAATTTCACTGATGAATCCATGCGTGCGTTTTGGAGCCGTAGGATTGTGAATGCTTACGGTGAAGAGTGTCACTCCGCTCAGAAAATTAGGTGGGCCAATCTTATCCACAGTTTGCCGCCCAAAGGGCTTGCCGGAATTGTCAGAGGCGAAGAGAGTTGTACAGGTGGGGTTAGAGATTTTCTTATTAACCCTGCGAAGTATTTGAAGCCAGTGCGGGAGTGGGTGTACATGCCACCTCCTCGTATCTTTGTGGATGAGGATGATTGGCCCGAAGTAGCTGCTGGGCTTATAGATCGGGGTATTTGTGAACCTTTTCCTTTGAAGGATGTCATCCGGGTCGATGGGAAACCCATGGTTGGGGGTTTGTTTGGTGTCCCCAAAAATGAAAACGTTGACGGTGTTGATGTTCTGCGACTCATCATGGATTTACGGCCGGTCAATTCCATGTTTCAGTCAATTGTCGGGGACATGTCTACCCTACCGATGCTTAGTCAGCTGCAACCCTTGGAGCTGTATCCCAATGAGACGCTGTTGATTTCCTCAGAAGATATCAAAGCCATGTTTTATGTGGTAAGTCTAGGTAGTGTATGGCGGCCGCTCCTGTGTTTCGGGAGGGTGCTGCCACCAGAGCTTTCCCCAGACCCACATGAAGAATATGTGCTTTCTAGTTTGGTGTTGCCGATGGGCTTCATCAATAGCGTTGCTGTAGCGCAAGCTTTGCACAGGGGTATTGTACATGCTGCCATGGATAAGCATAAGGTCAGCCGTTCTTTCGAAATTAGGCGTGACCAGCCTCTGCCACAGGAATCTCTGGGGTACCGCATCTACTTAGACAATTTTGACCTCTTGAGAAGAACAAACCCGGAGGCCGCTTCACTCCTAGATGGGACCCTGGATCCTTTGGCGGGGGCTTTGCGGGAGGAATACAGCAGGCATAAGGTACCCAGGAATTTGAAAAAGTCTGCGGAAAGTCAACTTGTAGCTGAAGTGCAGGGGGCCGTTGTTGATGGGGTTCAGGGCATCATTTACCCCAAGTTGGAAAAGGTAGGACGATACTTCAAAGCGGCATATCATCTCTTGAAAAGCGAGAGATGTGATTTGAAGCGTATGCAGGTGACTTTGGGGGGGTTCAATTACCTTTTCAGCTTCCGTAGGCCCCTGATGTCAATCTTCAACGAGAGTTGGACTTTTACGGCATCCTTTGAGGGTAACATGCGTTTGTGGCAGCCAATCCCTAACGAAGTGAAGGAAGAATTGTTTGCTGCTTTGTCATTGTCCTTGTTAGCCTTCATGGACATTAGGATGCCTTACGACCCTTTGTGCACTGTGTCGGACGCTTCGGAGGATGGCGGTGGTCTTTGCCAGAGCGTGGGCTTGACAGCCTTCGGACAAGCCGCCAAGAGCAAATTCATCAGGGGTGAAAGGGAGGAAGTGACCGATGACAACCAGCTTCTGGTGATTTCGTTATTTGATGGCATGGGAAGCTTACGAGTAGCCTTAGATACTATTGGTGCACAAATTTCTGGGTATGTCAGCGTGGAAAGGTCTAGCGAAGCATATCGTACTCTTCAAAGTAACTTTCCTAGAGTTCAACACTTTGACGACGTAGTTGATATCACACCTGCGGTAGTGCAAAGTCTAGCGGGAATGTATCCTAGGACCTCCTGTGTTTTGGTAGCGGGAGGACCACCTTCTGAGGCTTTTTCGGGGTCATGTAATTGTGACCCTGTGGCAGCTCTTCATTCTCATGTTTGTCGTGTAAGGGACTTATGCAAGGATGTCTTCAGTTGGTGTGAAACTTTGGTCCTTATGACATCTGGTTGCTCAATAGATGAGAAGGGCAGAGTCGAAATAACGCGCGCGATTGGCATGCTTCCTTTCAAAATCGACGCTTTGGGTTTGAGCTTGTGTCGCCGTCCCAGGTTTTGGTGGTTTGATTGGATCGTCGAGGCCGAGGATGGAGTTGAAATCTATTTGCCTCCCAATAGCGAAGCGCGTTCTTGGGGCCAAGTATCGTTCAATTTGGAAGTTAACCCTGATGACTACTTGCCTTACGGGTGGTCACTAGCGGGGGGAACTAACCATAAGTTATGCACTTTCACTACAAGTCAACCAAAAAAGGGCCCTGGGTTTAAACCAGCGGGGGTTCAGAGTTGTAGTGAACGGGATTTGTCCTTATGGGCTGGTGATAGGTGGAGGTTCCCGCCGCATCACTACAAGTATGAAAATGGTTTGGTTCACAAGAGAAAAGGTTGGAAGATGGTTGGGGTTTCAGAACGCGAATGTATTCTGGGCCTGCCATTGGACTATACGTTGAAATGTTTACCAAAGCAAGCAGTCAAAACTGATCCTTTGAAACACGAGGATACCAGGTTAACCTTATTGGGGAACAGTTGGGGTATTCAAGTGGCAGCGTTCTTGATGCGGTCATTATGCCTCCCTCGCAACCTGTGTCCCCAGATGAGTTTGCAAACAATGTTGCAACGGTGCCAACCAGGCTCTGGTCAAGCGGATGCCGGGTTGAACAGTTTTCTGACCAGGCCACCCTGGAAAGCGGGGCGGAATCCTGTTGTTGAGGGTAACTCAGAGATTTTGATTTCACGTTTGGGCACTTTGGTTTCGACAAAAGGTAGCGACATTCTTTTAAAAGCTGAAACAGAACCGGTTGTTACCTACGACAAGTTGCGAACAACTGTGCCTGCACATTTGTGGTCTTGGAAGACAGTCTGTGGGTGGCGTTGGAAGTATGGCCAATCTCCTGAGCAGCAAGAGCATATCAACAAATTGGAATTAAGGGCCGTGCTCACTAGTATTCGTTGGCGTATTTTCAAACAACGTATCAAGAAGACAAGATTCTTGCACTTGGTTGATTCACTTGTCAGTCTTCATATTTTGAACAAGGGAAGATCTAGCTCACGGTCATTGCAAAGGATTATCAAAAAGATCAACGCGTTACTCTTGCTTTCGCACACTCTGGTTCTCCTAGGTTATGTCGATACGGCGTCCAACCCGGCCGACGCTCCGAGTCGGCGAGGAATGAAGAAACGGAAATGGGCAAGCGTCGTATTATAGAGGGCAACTCCCAGGAAGCCAGAAAAATGCGAAGGCAAGAATTAGGACCGTTGAAATCCTTGATCATAAAACCTGCAACTTTAGAACGATACCGTAGAGCAGCTGACCATTTTTTTGCACATTTGCGTAGACAACGGGAGCCGATCCCTCAGACTCCTGAAATTATGGATATTGTACTTAGTGAATACATTGGTGAATTATGGGAAGAAGGCCACTCGAAGTCTTTAGCGGGGGATACCATCAGTGGTTTGCAGCATCATCAACCTTCACTAAAGGGCGAATTGAAAACATCCTGGCGGTATTTGAAAGCTTGGCAGCAGGCCGAGGTGCCGGCTCGGGCCCCCCCTTTTTCATTACAGACCCTTGCAATTTTTTGTGGTTGGGCACACCAACAAAATCCTCATTGGGCTTTGGCCTTACAGCTTGGTTTTCATGCGCTCCTGCGGACGGGAGAGCTGTTACAACTACAGGCTAAGGATTGTACTGTTCAACAAGATCATATACATTTATTCCTAGGGCAAACCAAGACTTCTTTTCGAAATGCAAATGTCGATTCTGTCCATTTTCGCCATCATCAACTCGCATTGCTGCTCGGTGCTTGGAAGAATTCGGTGCGCAAGAATGCCTACCTAGTAGATTGTAGCAATACAGCTTTTCGTACTTGGTTTGCCCGCGGGCTTCGGGATACATCTTTGGAACACATTGGTTACAAACCCTATTCTTTAAGGCGTGGGGGAGCAACCCATGTTTTTACAGAATCCCATTCTTACTCCACTGTGACACAACAAGGGCGGTGGAGTTCGCAGCAGACAGTTCGGGTATATATAGCAGATTCTTTGGCCTTGCTGAATGATTTGAATTTAAGACTGAGCCCAATTCATTTTACATGTCTTCGACAATGGAATGCAGTACTTAGGGAGCTTGAGCTTTCGGCGCGCCGAAGGAACGGGGAACGTGGATAGGACACAAGGATGCATCACTTAATGATTGTTTGTTGTAATTCCTGGTTTTTGTTGCTTCGTGTTTTGTGGAAATTAATTTCCTCTGATCCGGGTGGTTTTGTTTTGCGCATTTTCTTGCTGTTGTTGTTTTACCAACCAACTGCTGTAGCAAAAAAGATGAAGTGGTGCAATTCCTTGGTCTCAGCCCCCTGTAGTTAGGAATTCACACGCAATCTTTTGGCTTTTAGCTCCCTCCGATTGGCCCACCTCCCCCGCCCTAGCAAAAAAGATGAAGTGGTGCAATTCCTATCTATAGAATTCTATAGATATTTAGGATATGATTTAAGTGTAACCATAAAAAATGATCAAAGACATGGGAGGTATTGATATTAGATATCTAACCATAATTTAATGATTAATCAAATGGGAGGTATTGATATTTATGGATATTTGCCATTTAAGGTGGGCAAGCCTGGTTGAAATCTCCATAAAAATGGTGATGACTTGGGGATGGTCTCTTGGGTCATAAAAAAGATAGGTAGTCATCAAGAAAGGTCACAAATTAGTTGACATACTGGGACTTCACCATCAATATATGAGATATGTAACCATAAAAAATGGGAGATGACATCACATGAGGTCAGGGGGAGTCAAACAGTTAAACGTCCTCAAATGTGGGACCTTTGGTCATCATTTTTGACCAACCAAAATATCAACACCGGATATTCAAGCCTCAAACATTGGAATTTAGCTAGCACCCTACGGGGATAGAAATAATACTGTGCAGGACTGAGCAGTATCCCCAAAAACGATAGACAACTATGTCCAGGATGCTGTAGATGAGCTCAAAAACACCATACTTTCCTGGTACCGTCAGCGCTTTTTTCCTCCCCACAGGTTGCTATACGGGCTATGGTCAAGTTGCATGGTATATGGGGCATGGTAGTACCACCATGATGAATGGGATTTTCTGCTATGAATGGGTAACCCCTATCAATGGGGGAACAACTCTTCCCGAACCTATGTGAAAATAGGCGGTCCTGACCATGGCACATCTGAGCAAATCAGTCCGACCGAACTATGAGCTAATAGAGATGATAGTTGGGTTGTATATTTTAGGATCAGATAGGATCAGGGGAAGCATCCGAAAATGTTTTGAACTGGTGGGTGACATGGGTGACAAAATTTGATGAACGCGCCCAACAAAAATTGACTTTTTTCTAGGTCGCAGAATTTGGTGAAAGATTTTCAGCAACCGGCTTGTTTTTCGGAGTGGATTGTCGGCCAGGATATTCTTGGAGTGATGGATGTTAAACGATGTGAATGGCGCACTTATGGTTTCTTACCAGGGGTCGTAAAACCAAAGGACTTGCTCATGAGGACTTTGCTGTTTCACAAGTGTGCCCAGGTGATTTCTGAAAACATGCACCAGCCATTGGGATTGGCAGGTTGTCCTTCTGAGTTTTTTTTTGGATGGGGTAAGTCTCAACACATTGGAGCGGGTATTCCTCCATATTTCAGCTCTTCAGCGTGGCAAGGCTTCGGCTACTGTATTTTCCCGTTTTTTTTTTTTTTTAATTTCAGTTTTGAAGGGCCAAGCAAGCAAGCAAGCAAGCCAGCCAGCCAGCCAGCACGCAAGCACGCACGCAAGCACGCAACAAGCAAGCAAGCAAACACACAAACACACACCGACTTAAATAAACAGCCTAAACCAATCCGAAATCAGCCTGAACCAAATTTAAAGAAACCCCAAACCCTGAATCATCATTCTACACCAACCATACAATCCCAAAATACCTTAAAAACTAGCCTTGAATAAATTTCAAGCCAACTTGAAGAAACACACATACAACTTGAAATAAACTTTTCAAACAAAATCTAAATCATAAACATGCAGAAAATAAACCCCAAACGAACCCTGAATAAACTTCTAACCTATCTCAAGAAAACAAACCCTAAATCAACCCGAAACCAACCCTAAACAAAGTTGCAACCAACCCTAAACAAACCCTAAACCAATCCCAAATAAAGCCCAAACCAACCGAAAGAAACACCAGAAACCATACCTACTGAACCAACCCCAAAAAAAAACATTACAGTAAACGCGCCGAAAATGAACCATAATCAAACCCTAAGTGAACCTTTAATTTGGCGAATGCATTTTTGGCGATTTTCCCACAATGAGTTGAGACGAGAGCATGTTCTGCCAAAAAAAATTCCCCCAGAGACCTGAAAAATCCACGGGGAAACCGGTACCCTTGTAAAGAGTCGGTGATGTCACTACCAGCAGATTTCTCAGCGCTTGATTCTGCAAGCGCACATGCGTTCATGCGGTTTGGTTTAGATTGTTGAAACATGTGTTTAAACATGTTTAAACAAATTCACTAGGGTCCCCGATGGGATTCGTCTAAACCTTTTCGGTTTAAACATCGCCTAAACAAAAACATGTTTAAACCAACCCTAAGCCCAACACTGCCCTGCCCTCCGCATGATGATGCATGATTTTTTTTGTGGGGAGACCATTCAGATCCTTCAGGAATTCCATCATTTCGGGCAACCATTGGGCAACCGAACTTCCAAATCCATCATTCCAAATCCAAACTTTAAGTGTTTTGATCCAGTTGTTTTTGCCCTCCTTGAGTCGTGCTCCTTTGTCCCATGATTCCCGTGCGATTCTAAGGTTTCAAGGAGCGCCAGCCGGTGTACAGCATGCGCGGCCGTGGGGAAGGCTCTTCCAAGGGCACCCAATCCGCACCAGAGATGCTCATCTCAACTAGCAGAGGGTCAAATTTAGAAAAAAATACCAAGTGAATTGATGCTGCAATAGTAAAACTGGCAAATTGATGCAAACAAAAGATGATCTGATGGTTGAATTTTGAGGTGGGACCCCTGAATTCCTGGCTTAAAATTGGTAGGCACAAAGTTCATGCCACCACATTTTTATCATATGGGGATGGGTCAAAACCTTGCACCCCTGGTGAACATCAAAATAGCTGGTAAATGGATGTTCATCCCCCTAAAAATGGTATTTATAGGTATTGACTCATACCCATATCTCTATCCATTGATGATCATTCACTAGAGAAGACTCCAGCAACGTATCATCTCCCGAGGATTTTTTCCCATTGGAAGTGACCTCCTTTGGACCAGCTCCGGGCATCCAGGATTTCCACTGAGCAGCTGATGAAGGGTTTGGACGCTTCCAGGAAGAAACCACCGAGCTTCTCCCTGAAGTCACGCCACTTGGAGAGCTGGGGCAGCTGGGGCTGGGAGCTGGGTCAAGTAATTTAAGTGACTTGGACTATGACCAAACATGACCAAGCAAATGTGGATGTATGGTATTACTGTATATGGCATTAGAAAATATTAGAAATATGTATATATATATACATATGGGTATCTATACATGTATAATATAGACTTGGACATCGCTCACACATATTTAGTTGGTGGATTATGGCCAACAAACAAAAAGAAAGATGGATGGTATGGGTTCAGATGTAATGCGAGATGCGAAAAGACTGCTCTGGATATTTGATACATGTTAGAGATCGACTACCATTCTTTTCCAAACCCTATCACGAATCTCTTTCCATCGATGTTTTGGTGTTTTCCCCGGCGCCCGTTGCAGTCACGCAGATGGATCAAGCAACTCAAAAGCCTCAAATCGGGAGAATATGAGTTGTTTGATGTTGTTTGTATTTGTTTTCATTCAGAATTCGTATTCCTCAAAGAGTCTAGTATTCCATCCGTTCATCCGATGGGTGGTTTTTCAAAAGCATTTTGAATCTTCAACAGCCGATTTCAACGCAATTTACGATGAGGATCCCAACTGACAAACATATTTTTCAGGTGGGTTCAACATGGTTAAACATGGTTAAACCACCAAGAAGTTCATGTCTATTCCATATCTATTCCATGTCGATCTCTGAATAGATCCCGGCCTAGGACCCAAGATGGTTCCAGGGGACGCGGTTCCCTCTTGGGTGAACTCGATCCCAGGCAGGGAGCTCCATGATGCCATGGCTGCTGGGAAATCTGGGTGAACTAGCCACGTTTTGGAATTTATAGCTGGGACAGTTGAACCAAAAATCAAAAAATGACGGTTTATAGCTAGTAGAATTGAAGTGTTTCTGGGTGATGTAAATTTTGCCAGGTTTGAGTTACCAGCTTTGGGACTCGCGAAGAATTTATTTTCTTATTTGGCTGGCTTCTTCTCATCGCTTGCCGACAGATGCCGACAGCTATGACAGCTGGGCTGTGGCAGGTCCCAAGTACCACCCCAATTGCGACACTTTCAAGAAGAAGCCGCCTGCCACTTGGCGTCATAGCCTGGGCCGGCAAACAGAGAGACTCCAAGAGTGGCACAGGGAACGCCCCAGAATAGTCGAAAACATCGAACCCAAGGAACATGTTCAATTCAATAGGAAAAACCAACTTTATCATCGTTAAATCATAGAGAGAAACAATATGACACCTTTTTTTGAGGTCCATGCTCGATTTCTGTGGCTTGTAATTGGGGTAGAAAAGACCCTTTCAAAATCCGCCAGCAATGCCTGGATAACATGGGACTGGGAAGCCGGAATGATTTTTGAAATGAGAACACCATTCAATTCATGCATATTCATGCATATTCATCCGCTTATTGTGGATTTGCCCCAGCTTCTCTTCCCAGAGGCCACGAGGCAACTCCTCTCTGTCTTGATGAAACATCCAGGGCTTCATCAAGATCACTTTAATCTATTAAAGTCCCATGAAACATCCATGAAAAAACCCATCAACCATCCATCGAAATCCCATGAGCTTCAGGTCTACTCCATGCGCGCGAAATTGCCTAGCGAGCCTGGGGGCTCCGAAGATATGAGGGCTGGAAAGGAACACGGGAAGTGGGGAATATGTTGAGGGGGTTGAAGATCCCAAAGGTTGGGTTATGAATATTATTCAATCAAAACATCTTTGGTTGGGAAGGATGTTCAGTTTTTTTTTCCGGAATTTGCTAGGGTACTTGAGAGAGTAATTACTCATCTTCAACCATCCTCAGATGTTTCAGCAGTGCCTGGGACCGGAGATGACTGTAAGGTTTGTCCAAAACAAAAGTCCTTCGGATTCCAGGTATGTAGCCAATGTAATTAAACTCCAACAAATTCCATTTTTATATCCAGGAAATGAAATTACATCCAATGAAGTTCCATGTTTCAGAAAGCAATGTCAGAAACCTATTTCATCCGCAACCTTGCATGGGTAGTTTAATCCTGCAGTTCTAAATATAAAGTAAACATCAACGGCAAAAGGTTAATTTTTGTGGACTACCAAAGATTGACCATGATAATTTTGATGGTTTCTACCGTGTTTATACTACCCATCTGTGGTAAAAACAATGGGGAGGCTAAACACCAAGGTCGGATCTAATGAAGGTGCGTAGCCCGGGACCTCTCCGACACTTGGAGGAAAAAAGGGAGGGAAGACGGGTTGGACGTGTTGGTTATTTGAGGATCTGATGAGATTTCATGGTGGTGGGATTTAATGGTGATTTAATGGGACTTTAATGGGATTTGCTGGTGTTTTACTGGGATGTGAAGGGATTTCACGGGGATGTATTGGGATTTAATGGTGATTTTCATGGGCTTTACTTGGATGTAATTGCATTTAGTGGGATTTCATGGTGATTTAATGGAATTTCATTAGCCCCCCAGAAGATAGAAAAGTATAGAACAGTTGGAAACTGGAAAGATGTGGAAAGTACGGGGTTTCCCATGATCTCTACCATCCTGGGCATATTATAGTATGGATGACCATCACCAGTAAAAGTTCCTTTCAGCCAAAACTTTCCAGGGTTTCCAGGTTTCCATGATAGATTCTATGATATCATCTCTATGAACTATTTTTCGGCTTCCGGGGTTGATATCATGGAGCCCCGAGGCTATAGCGGTGCAGCCATGGACTCCAAGAAACAAGAGCAGGTAGATAGCACCAGGCGGCCGTTTGGGGGAAAGCTGCGGGAAAAACGTAGGTTTAGCAGAGGAAGAATCCAAAGGAAAGCATAGGGTTTACCTTGCTAATATGGAGTTTCCTGTGATTTCTTGGCTGTGAATCTTCACATTGGAATCTGGAAAATGGGGAAATCATCTTCCAGCCTTGTTTCCTGTGAGTTTTCTGTGGTGTATGAGTCAGCTCAGTCAATATCAAGTCAAGTAGATCATTGGCCAATCTTGAGCCACAGGGCATCAATCAGCATTGTTCATCGCCCCAGACTTGCAGAAAGACCGAGGGAGAAAGCCCTCAGATCAAACTGGTGAGAGCTTCCCCATTTTTATTGGTTTCACCTTCATACGTGACATATCGCCACATAGGCTCTTAGGTTGGGGGGCTCAAATCAGCTTTGTTTTAAACATACGTATATAATTATCGTATGTTTTATATATAATATATAGTATATATTTGATATTGGGATCTTACCCTTTCAGCGGTTGGTGGAGATGTTCAAGCTGATTCCCCTCCGGGTAATCAAACATGGCGGGCCGCTGGGAAAATCGCAAACTGGGGTGGAAATCCAGCCATGTTTGACTCAAGTGCAGAAGGGTATTTCACCAATCTTCCATGAAGATCCCACGTTCACATTTTTTTCACTCCAGAAACCGTCCCCAAAAAAAATATTCCAAGAACATATCCCCAGAAAACATTCCCATGATGACTACTGGATGATACCATCCAAATACATCATTGATAAGTCAGGGATTCCCATGAGATCCTTGGTGAAATCTCCCATCTTTGGCTGAAAACAGCTGTGGATCACCGGGTGTGAGGCACAAGAGTTTCTCCTGTTCCTTTGGCATCGGTCCTCGATGGAAGGGGCCAGTGAGCGAGATGGTCATGACGGGTGCCTTAGCGCGCTACGACAAGCCTGAGAAGCCCTCATAGGTGGGGAGTGGCAGGGTGGGATTGGGATGATGGGTTGGACGGTGGGAGCTGGCTTTGGGGATGCGGAGGTTGGCGTTTTCCCAACATTTTGGGACAATGACAATTGATGTTTAGATTGGCAACCATACAGGTGGAGGATGGTGGAGGGCTCTATTTTTGGGTGATCCATGTGGGATGAAAAAGAACACGCAACAACGGCAAGTCGACTTTGAACCAGAGCAACACAGTGCTGCTGATTTAATTTTAGACTTTGGATATGCTCTACTCCTTGGCAATCTAAACATGAATGCCGAATAATTACCGATTATCACAAATGGTGGAGTTTCCATCGCCAGCTTTATCACTAGAGAGCATCTCCATACTATATCATCCAAACACCACCAGATTTCACAACCCCCATCAACCCCGTAATTGTTAGTACATGTTAGTGCCCCCCAAACCTAGAGATTCCATAGGGTTCTGCTGTGTTGCACAGTGCCGCCAGGGCGCTAACAGTTAGGGTCTCTCCGCCGGTCACCTCGCGGCTGTCTGGCAGACCAGCGTTCGACGGAGGGAAGAGGTTCACTGCTCAAAGACAAAAATCCAAACAAAAATGGTACAGCTCAGGGATAGTTCAGGGCTTCAGGGGTTGATGATGGTTGGCGGTGGTGTCATTCCTAAGGGTATCACTATATTCCTCTGGATTGAAGCCACAAAAACCGGCTAGCCATAGGCTGAGCCGACTCTTGGCCCCGATTTCTGGAGATTTTTGTCAAGGACAGGTTTGAATCTGGCAAGGAGCCATTCTACCTTGTGGGTAAGTGACCTTGAAGTGGAACGTTCCATTTTTTGATTATGGTTTTTGATGTCAAAAATTGTTTTATTTGGATATTTATATATTGTTATTATTATTATTATCTATCTATCTGTTTGTCTGTCTATCTGTCTATCTATCTATCTATCTATTCTAATCTATTCTATTCTATTCTAATCTAATCTATATATCTATCTATCTAGCGAAAGTCAAGTCGTTCACCTGTCAGTTTCCCAGAGGACTTTTCCAGGGCCCACCCTCCCCGAAAATTGCTGATCTCCCCCGGTCGAACGCTGCTGCGGCTCCGCTGGGGAACTGGCCCTGCGTTACGGGCAGTCACCACCTCCAAATGGAGCTGGCTGACGCAGCATTTCTTCGAGCACTCGTGGTGTTTTTTTCACCGTCCAAAGGCGGTGGAAAAGCCCAGATGCTGCCCGTGGGGATTGGCGGATTTGTTGCTCTCGGTTTTCTTGTGGATTCAATTGGCAGCCTGGCAGCCTCTGATATTTTTTGTTCCCCAATAGCGTAAGCTTGGGGTCTTCAGCCGTAATAAAGGCCTCGGAGCAGGTCAGAGCAGCCAAACTCCGGATTCCCAAAGTTCCCAGGTTCGCAGGAAGGGGTTCCCAAGCAAGGTTCCCAGGAACAGGTTCCCAAAGATTCCCAAAGGTTCCCAAGAACAGGTTCCCAAGCAAGGTTCCAAAGCAACGTGCCCAAGAACAGGTTCCTAAAGGTTGTTCGCAAGAACAGGTTCCCAAACAAGGTTCCCAGGAAAGAGGTTCCCCAAGAACAGGTTTTCAAGAAAGGTTCCCAGGAACAGGTTCCTAAAGGTTCCCAAGCAAGGTTCCCAGGAACAGGCTCGCAAGCAAGAAAAGGTTTCCAAGCAAGGTTCCTTAGAACAGGTCCAGGAACAGGCTCCCAAGAACAGGTTCCCAAGCAAGGTTCCCAAGATCAAATCTCTAAGCAAGGTTTTCAGGAACAGGTTCCCAAGCAAGGTTGCCAAGAACAGGTTCGCAAGCAAGGTTTCCAAGAACAGATTCCCAAGCAAAGGTTCCAGGAACAGATTCGCAAACAAGATTGCCACGAACAGGTTCCCGAGTGAGGTTCCCAAGAAAGGTTTCCAAGCAAGGCTCCCTGGAATAGGTTCCCGAGCAAGGGTTCAAAGAACAGGTTGCCAAGAAAGGGTTCCAAGAACAGGTTTCCAAGCAAGGTTGCCAAGAACAGGTTCGCAAGCAAAGCTCCCATGAACATATCCCAGGAACATATTTGCAAGCGAGGTGTCCAGGGACAGGTTTCCAAGCAAAGTTTAAGTTTATTTTGTTCCAACGATGACATGCCCAATATTCAAGCTGTGTGTGGGGCACTGCTGTGTGTTCAAACGCGCGCAATTGAAAACTGAGACAAAGCGAGCTGCAAATAAGTTCCTGAAGTGCTGAACCGACAGGATACACAACCAGAAGGCTTACCTCAGCCAGCTCTCAAACATGATTGCGACAAACATGTGGTGACTTTTTCATTTGGTTGTTGCTGTTGGGGATATGCTTTGGGCTTATTGGAATTTTAGATATCTTGTGATCCTTGTGGGTCCAAAATGGTTTGGATATCGGAATCTGTAAAGGAACAACGACTTCCAGAGCCCAGGGGTGTAGAGGTACTCGCTAAAGTTGCCCATAATGCGGATGTTTGCATAGTGTGCCTGGTGAAATGTGTTTGTTTTGCGTCCCTAAAGGGTTCTACAATCCCAGCTGAATGCTTTTTATAAAAGCAAATTGTGATATATAAACTTAAACCCATTGACAAGAAGGGGGGTTCCCAGTTTGAGAATAAACAACTCCTTCAAACAATTGGTGAAACTTATTATTGGGGTTGTTGCAGATGAAGAAGATTGAAGAAGTACTGTAAATTAGAGAGGTATATATATACACATAGGTAGATAGAACGATCTGTGTATTTTCTGCATCTTCAACTGACACACACACACATGCATACATGATATATATATATAATATAATAATAATAATAATAATAATATATATATATATACACATACAAATAGAGATGTACACATACATGCATGTACAATTCACAGATAGACACTTATGTGCATTTGGAGATCTCTACACCACCTTCCAGTCCCCCACCTTTCCATGAGCTCTCCGCCAAGCCCCACACGGACCTGAGATGACACTTGCCTTGCCCCCTTGGGAGGAAGCAGAAAACTGGAGTGCCCAAGAACCGGCGCACAAACCGTGGCAAGATCTTGGGATATTCATAGAAACCAAATCACATCAAATCACAGAAGGTTCTGAACTTTTGGGACAGGGACGTTTCGGCATGGCATCTCAGGACATGTAGGCCATCGTAGGTGATCTTTCAGTCAGTTGGGGCATGCTGACACGCGCTGCCGCACTTGAAAAAGAATCCTCTTCAGCTGGTGGGCAGTTCAATGGAGAGATGGTGATGGTAGTGAAAATCACCGTGGAAACCCGGTAACCAATGAATTGCAATGTAACAGATTACAATTAATGTACAATTTTATTCTATATTTTGGATGGATGGATAAATAGATATAGAAGGACGTACAATATAACAATGGCAAATATGGAGACCACGCATGTGCTTGGGGAGGGGGAGAGCCCTTTGTCAAAGTAGCTTTTGCATTGACTCCGTCCCATCCATCCCCAACTCCGGCCGTGGGCTCAGATAACAGAGGATGGCATTGGCAAATACCACCACCACCACCCACGATGGGTCCCAACTTCTTTCTTTTTCTGCATTGATTGGTGGAGGAAAAAACATCGCAGCTATTTGCATGATCAGAAAAACTAGGGCACATGCTATGACGACAACCTCAATATTTTTATTCAAAATCATCCCATTTTTACCTCAAGTCATCGCTTGAAGCGTCCAAAGTTTAGGCAGATTAACCATGATCACCAGTAAATTCCACTGATGACAATTTTCCTGGGATTTATATCAGGGCAATATAACTTAACCAACGTAATTAATATTTTATGTGATTCAATGGTGATATAATTAAGGATTGTCTATAGAAAATGGGATTCGCATGGATTTACTAACCCCATCCCATCACGGGGACACTTAAAACAACACTGCCATGTGCGCGTGATCGATCTAACTTCGTTTCATTTCGCCATGGGAAAGTTGCCCAAACTGGCGGCTGGATGCCTGGACAGTGGGGAGGACAGTGGGGATGTAAGTAATGCAGTACATATCAATAAAGTATCATAAAGTCATTTCTATGATTTCAAAGCCATGTTATAAATGCAGTTCATAGCGGTTTGTAATGTTTATAATCTTCAGCCCATGGTTTTAAAGCCATGGGTTTAAAGCCATTGCTTATAATGGTTAAACCAAACCTATGGTTTTTTGATGTTATAAAAACACACATCTATAAAGTGACGTAAGTGGTTTAAAACCAATGGTTTATAATGGTTAAAGCATGTTAAACCAAGCCTATGGTATAGGGTTTAGTGATGCATCACCATTCAATGATGGTCACACACTAGATGCGTCAAAAGCAGGTAGAGATCTGACTCCTGAAGCATTTGGTTTGGTCCCAAAATAAGGCATCCGTACAAATAACACATTGGTATTGCTACAAGTTGATATTATATAAAATATTACAAAATCTATATCGTATATTTTCACTCAAACCCACATCATATTAAGTTGCTACACGCGATGAACTTCCATGAAAAAACCCTTGAACAATCCGTGTTGTTGATGGCTGTACCACCATTTTGGCCATGCCCGCCATCCTCAGTGCGAGGCGGCGAAGTCTAAGAATGAGGACAGCGCGGGCGAAGGTGCGCCTTGGGCAATTTTGGAGGAGTTTTTTGGACCCATGGAGGCTTCCGAAGTCATGGGGGTACCCAAAAATGGATGGTTTATTTCATGGAAGATCCCACAAAATAAATTTTGGATGATTTCGGGGTATGTTCCCAAACCTCCTATTGAAGATCCCTTTTCTATGGTCCTAATTATGTGGAAATCCCAGACCAAACCATGGTTTCTAGGGGGTGTTTAATGTTAGGGGATACAAGGGGGAAGGGATTAATTAGTAAAAAGGGGCTGATGATATGATCTAACCGTTACAAACAGGGATTGCCATGAAGTTAATAATGGGGAAAATGGGAATTGAGCATCAGAGTATGGGAATCAACGACTTATGTATACTTATTGGGGTTTGCCCAAAAAGAAAACAGGGATCAGGTTGTCTCGCTGGTAATTAGATGGACACCTTTTGGGCGCATGAGATTCTCGCTACACTTGGCTTGTTGGCTTAGACGGCATCGAACCAGGGACCGGCCAACAGTCAAGCTGAAATGGTCACCAGATGCCACGTAAGACACAGCAAGACACTTTGAATCTATACGTTCCAGATGATTTCAAGCCTGTCACGGCATTTCAAGCCCAATTTTCAAAGGATTGGATGGTGTGATGACATGTTGCCCCACACATCCCTCACCTTTTCCAAGAGTTTTCCCATCCTCGGGCTTTTGGCGCCAAGGCCAAATCGTGAGCATCACCAGCCCGAAGAATGCCCGCCGCACAAGCCAGGAGTCAGAAGTGGGGCGGACTGTTAAGGCCTGGCGGAGGGTGGGGATGGTACCAGATCAACGGGACGGCTGAAGCAGTTTATAGAACATGGCCAGTTTGGATATCCCGCTAGGAATTCCCAAAAACATAGAAAACATATATGAAGACATGATTTACCCACATCTTGTCAGTAGATTTTTTCTGAGTTCATGG